CTCGATTCTTTGTCTGTCGTACTTATATACAAGAATAGACTGCGCCTAGCAAATACTGGATTATTCGTGATGTTCCACGATCTTTCTAGAAGTCATTACGTGTTACCAGCGTCACGTGACTTCCGCTGTCGTAACAATACAGCTACACAATGAGCTATCTGTGCTCTGCCCACCACGGGTATCGAAACCCGGTTTCTAGCGTTGTAAATCCGTAGACATACTGCTGTCCCACTGGGGGGGGGGGCAAAACAAAAGTATAAGACTAAATTATATGTAATTAATTATTTCTACGTTGGAGGTATTACAACTGGTTTTTGTTTATCACGAAGTTAACTCATCCGCAGAGTCAATATGCTTCACACACTTCCCCAGTGGCTCAGCGGTAAGTCTCACGACTTATAACGATAAAAACAAGTTTCGATACCCGTTATGGACACAGAACAGATAGCTAATTGTGTAGCTTAGCACTTAACAACGGGACAAAAAAAAAAAAAAATGATACGAAAGGAAAACTCAGAGCCATATATACCAAGCCGTAAGAAATATCATGTTATTAAAATGTGGAAATTAAAGAAGAATCCAGATCAATTGTATCGACCAAAGCACTTTCACCATGCACGTTTATATGCTTCTCAACCTGGTTTGATTATTTTCAACTTATTAAAATCTCTTTCACGAGAAAGTTGACAAAATAAAAGAGTAAAGAGATAGTTATAAGCAGTGCAAAAATAAGTATAAGCTACTGTACATAGGTTCAAAATCCTGTATGCACACAAAAGGCATTGAACACAAGAACAATTGCAAGTGAAGTCTCGGACTGATTTCCTCTTCACCTTTTTTATTATGTCTCTTCCGTCTATTTTTTTAAGCTCCCAATCTTCATCCGTTTCATGTGAAGTGGATTCCTTGATGTTTCCATTTTCAGAGGAAGCATCAAATTATTCATTGGTATCAAGAATATTCAAAACTTCTAGGACTGTCTGCTCTGTGCACTCATTCCCTAGCAGTCTGATACGAGAGGGATGGACTGATGCAAAACAGACAAGTTCCTTTTGCATATCTTCTTCAGTCACGTTCGCTTAAGTTGCAATTGTCATCACGAACTGAAATTGCTTTGGGATTATCTTTTGTCTTATTAAATTCCGTATTATTAAGAAATTGTGTATTTTCGATTAACTCATTATTTTTCAGGTGTTCCGTAATGCTAACAAGTATCTGATACAGTATAAGATGAAAAAGGTTCACACAGAAACACTGCAGCAAATCAGTTGGTATTTCATTTTTTTACATTTTCATCTGTCATTCAGTTTTCTTCTTGTCAGCACGAGCCTCTGACAGCTCAGTTAGGATGATATAAACATAATCATGGACATCGGGTTTTAAATCTTTATATTGAGATTATTTCAGAAGTAGAGGGCTTGCTGTAATACAGATTCGAAATTCAATGACAACAAACGTTTTCTTCTGTTTTATACCATTGGATATGTGTTTAAAATATTCTAACACTTTCCTTTACAAATAGCTTGATACAGGACCAAAAAAAATCAAAAACATTAAGAAAGGCATGTGCTACAACTTTGGTATCTAAGCATTTCACATTGCCGAAAAATGAGTCGTAAAGTTGATTTTGTTGGAGATAACACCTGGTTTGCCGATAAAAGGTAAAGTTGCGCCTCATTCATGAAGGTCAACATTAGTGTCCTTGAATGGTAGGTCAAGTGATATTCGAAGTTACATCTTCCCTTTTGTTTGAATGGTAAGGACTACTCATGTGTCATGACCACAGAATATTATTGCGGAGTTATTTGCTAACGTGTTGCCTGTAAAGAACGAACTTATCGATTTGTTAATAATTTTTCTATTCGTCTGAGAGCATGAGTTTATATTAGCAATGAAACTAATATTTCTTAGGGATATAATTATACATGTCTTGTTTCTCACTCGAGATGTAAAGAAAAAAAAGACTGTCTATATCTAAATTTTGCTGTGGGAGCCGTGATATGCTATGTATGTCATGGATAGTAACCACAAATAAAACAAGGAATGTACAAGATACAAATCGGAGTTAAAAACTGAAAACTTGACGTGAATGATTTGAAGAACAGTGACAGAACACAATGTTAAACTAAGTAAAATCAATTTTTATTTAAAATACAGCAACATGTCAAAAGAGGAGTGCAGTACATTAAGGAGTGCTGTTAGATCACACAGACTTTGGAATTTTCTATCATTTCTTTGAGATATCTTTATTGATATTCTGTTCTAGACTGAGATAGTAGGACATTATATACACAAAAACAAAAATGTTGTCTCTCTGAGTGCAGACACTACTCACATCATTGGTTGTTTCAAGTAAAAGTACGGGGTTTAAGCTCCAGATATTTCTAAATTTAAACACAATTATTTTACAAAAGGAATCAGGCAACGATCCAAAAACAAATTGCCACCAGCATCGTCTGTGAAAAATATCTAAAAAATAGTTAAGTGGAACTGCTATTATATATTTTTCTTTTGATTCTCAAACAATTAAGATGTAGGTAATAGTTACAATTTACCCAATTTCAAGCTTGTAAAAACGTATTTGTTTAACATATAAATGTTATATAATCGAGCTATAAATTAGCTAACTTGGCGTCTCTGTTCTCTTCGATGAAATTATTTAACAAGCTCTCCGGGCTTGGGCCAAAGGTAGAACTCTGGATTTCGGAGATGGGTTTAAACCTGTGTGTTACAACAAACTATGCCCAGCATTTTAAACTGTAGGAGGATTATTAAAGTGATGTTTGCTTTGTTTTGAATTTCGCGCAAAGCTACACGAGGGCT